CAAACAACAAAGAACGAAGGCCGTGAGTTCTCCTAGAGACTCACTACCACCGCGCAACCCCCACACAACGGAAAGCTCAACGGACAAGCCAGACGCCTCAGTTGTTTGCCATCACCGGCGCGTTCTCGCTCTGCTCCGTCAACAATGCAACAAAATCAGCCACGAGATTCGTAAGATTTCATCATAATACTTATGTTGTTGTTCATTTTGTACAGGAAAAGAAGAAAGATGAGACCAAGCGATGGAGGTGAGGAGAAGAGGGAAAGATTTTTTTGACAACAACAACACCTAGGGAGTATCCGCCGCAGGTAGAAGAAGGAGAAGGGGTCAAAGAAACCCTAGAACATTCAGCAACAACATTTTCCCCATTCCCCCTTTTATATTTTTATCTTATTTATTTATTTCTTTTTTTCTTATATTTCTTTAATTTCAGATTTTATTAATTTGATTATTAAATTTATAATAAAAAAACCTAAACTTTATTTTATTTAATTAAAATTTAATTCTAAAACTTATAATAAAAACCACTTTTTTACATTAAAACCCTTTTTTGAAAAACTTATTTTTTTAACACTTAATTAAGAATTATTTCTTAAAACTTAATGATTAAAACTATTTTCACTTATTTTTTTAAAACTAGAATTTAAAACTTAAATAAAAAACTAAAATTAAAATTATTTTTAAAATTTAATTTAAAAATTTAATTTGGAATTTAAATTCTCAATTCAAAGATTAAAAATTCTAAAGTTTTAAAATTAACATTGTTTTAATAAATCTAATAAAATTAATTTAGTTATTAGTTTATTGATTTTCTAATTAAAACTTTGTAAAGATTAAATTCTAATTTTTAGGAAAAAGTAATTTAAAACCAATCAAAAGTTCAACTTTTAAAAATTAAAACTTTTTAGAAATTACTATATTTTTAAATAAACTTTCCCCTTTTAATTTAGACTAAATTTCATATTAATCCTAAATTTTTCTTAAAGCTAATTTCTAACAAAAATGCTAAAATAAGAATGCTTAATATCCCCGTTTATTTTCGTCTAACTTCTATGTCATTCCTGTCGTATTTCCCAGTTGTACAGTTATTAATCCTTTATTTTCCGCATTTCTTTTTATGGTTGTAATTTATGCGAGGACATCGTCGCTTTTCAATTCCGTTATTATTCTCGTACTTTCCCATATTTCAATTCTGTTGCTTAATTATTTGTCATTGCTTTATTCACCGTAATTTTCCTTCCGAAGGAATAGGTCTAGTCGTTTGACCGCCGCGTCAATAGTCCTTAACTCTTACATCTCACCTTTCAAACCATAAGACATTGAGTCGCTGTACTCATGCTTAGGCGTCCCGCCGTGGACAATTTTACCCTTTACCCTAGTCTTAGGATAAGGAGTTGTCGTACTCCACGTAAGTTCCCGCCGTGGAATATTTACTATCTTACCCTTTTCAATTCTACTTTTCAACGTAGAAATAGGAGTCGCCACACTCCACGTAAGCGCTTCAATAAGAACGCTTATTCCCCATTGAAACCTTGACCACAGTCAAGAAGTTTCTATTCCTCCCTTTTGAGGAGAACTACGATTACTCTGATTCCATCCCCTACCTTGGATACGAAGGCACAAGATGCGAGTCTTGGCGAGTAAACTTAGGATTAAACCTTAGGTCTTTTTTCTTTAACTTTTAACCCTTAGCATATACCCTTAAGCAGATAATTATAGCAAAATAGCAGCATTAAAACAAGAGGTTCTTGTAGAGTACTACAAAAGTTTAGGGTGCTAATATCTTCCCTAAGCTTAACCAACCCCCGAACCCTAAACCTCTCTCTGCATTGTATTTACGATGCAAAATTAGGTTTTTCCTTCCTTTGACCTTTTCTTCGAATAAATCAAAGATCGGTTATGAACTAAAGATGTAATTCAAATTAATTAATAATTTGATATCCGATTCTCACCGCAACAGCTAGGCTCTTCTTTTGTTTCTTGAGGTAAGTAGGACATTCAGCTCTAATGTGACCAAATCCTTCACATCCATGGCACTGAATCACTTTGCTTTGATTTGACTTTTCTTCAAACCTTGTTCTTCTACCAACATCATTAGACCTGCTGATGTCATATGAGTTGTTTTTGACATTTGGTCTTGACTTCATGTTCATCCTCTTCATTACCTTGTTACACTGTCTTCCAAGGAGCACTATAGCATTGGATAAGCTTTCATCAATATCCATATCACATTCATCCTCTCCATCTTCAGTATTGGACATAAAGGCTATGCTCTTTTTCTTATCAGATATGTCACTTACCCCCACTTCAAAGGTTAAGAGAGGTCCAATAAGTTCATCCACCCCCATCTTGCTGATGTGTTAAGCTTCTTCTATGGCAGTTACTTTCATATCAAATCTCTTGGGAAAAGACCTGAGAATCTTTCTTACAAGCTTTTCTTCTGACATCTTTTCACCTAGGGCACTTGAAACATTGGCTATTTCAAGGATATTCATATGAAAATCATGTATGCTTTCATCATCTTTCATCCTTAAGTTTTTAAATTTGGTAGTTAGCAATTGAAGTCTGACATTTTCACCTTAGAAGTACCTTCATGAGTAGTTTTGAGTATCTCCCAATCATCTTTAGCAACTTCACAATTATTCACCAATCTGAATATATTTCTATCATTCCATTGAACAAGGCATTCAAGACTTTAGAATTTCCAAGGGCCAATTCATCCACCTCCTTAGTCCATTCTTCCTCAGGATTCAAGTCAGATGTAGCTTGTCCATCTTTCCCAACAGTGACAGGGTGTTTCCATCCTTTTATGACAGCTTTCCAAGCCTTACTATCCAATGATTTCAAGAAGGTCACCATGTGAGGTTTCTAATAATCATAATTATTTCCATCCAGAACAGCTGGTCTATTCACAAATCCTCCCTTTTGGTCCATAGTACCAGAAAGTATCGTCCCTATATCTCACCTAGAACTAGAGCAGGATTCCTGCTCTGATACCAATTGAAATTCTGGTATCTGATATGAGATGTCGAAAGAGATGCCACGACACTAATATCTAAACAATTACCAATATATGAACAAGATAAAATGCAGTTAACAATTGTAAAGAGACACAAGCAATTGTTAACCCAGTTCGGTGCAAACACATCTACGTCTGGGGGCTACCAAGCCAAGAAGAAAATCCACTAAACATTATTAGTTTGAAGACTCTCAGCAAACTCTCTCTAGTTTACAATCTTCACACCTAATCTCTACCCGTGTAACTTCTATCTAAGACACTCTCAGATATGAAACACCTCTCACTCCCCCTCAATCACATGCATTGATAAAAAAAAATACAATCCATTTTTCCAGAACAACTACAAAATACAAGATCAATTAGAAAAAACTAATTAAACTAGTATCTCTCTCAGTGTATAAAGAGTAGGAGAAATAGTTGAAATGTTATCTCTTGCAAAATAATTTTAATCTTTATAACAGGACTTGGTGTGCAATATAAGTCACCTTTTTGTTGAAATATATTTTTTAACAAAGTATATTTGTATTGTATCTAGGGGTGTGCATTGAAATCATTTAATATGAACAAAACTATTTTTATGGTTATGATTTATAAACCAATCCATTTTTATGGTTATGATTTATAAACTAAATCATTTGTTCCGAACCAGCTTAAAACCAGTTCTAAATGAATTTTGATTTTAATCTAAATTATTTATTTAATTTTAATTTAATTTTTTTTAATTATATTAATTTTTGAAATTTAAATATTTAGGTTTTAATATATTTTTTCTTTGAAAAATAAAAACAAATTAAAATTTAAAAAACAAATTTAAAAAATTAAAAAAAAAAACTGAAAAAAAAAATTCTAAAATAAAAAACTTCAGTAAATTATATGGACTTAAAATGGTGATATATTTGTATATTTTAAAACCTCTATTTATTGGTGGAAAAATCTAAAATATTTATGATCATTTCTCCATAAAGCTTTACTAATCTTTGAGATTTATAAATGAAAATTAGAGTCAAATCCAACAAATCAAGTTTTGGTATATTTTCTTGCACATGCCAAATCAAATTCGATGCACTAAGCTCTATATAATTAATGATTGAAAGTCCATATAATTAATTATTAAAAGTCTATATAATTTGTGAAGTATTGGTATACCATTTTAGATAGTTATAGAATTCGTAAACAATTTTTTTTTTTTCATTTTGAAATACAAAATTCTGAATTTTTTGTAAAATAAATTTTTTTATGAAATTCAAAAAGGTTAATTTTAAAATAGTTTAAATATAAAATTGGTTTATAATGTGTATATGATAAAATAGACAAAAACATATTAAGTTAACCAATAATGAAATCTGGAAACCAATAACTAAACCATATGAAAACCAGTTTATATTTAGATAACAAAATGGATAACCGGATTTATATTTTAGCATTTGGTTTAAATTTTTAAAAGTGAAACAATTTGAATATAAATTTAATTAACAAATAATCGGTTTTTTTCACACCCCTAATTGTATCACATTACAATCCACACATATTTTTGAATTCTACCTATGAGAATAGTTTCCAAAGTTACTTGGTGATTTAATTTGTGCAGTACTACGGAAAATGAGTCACATTAAAGAATCAATCCTACTTAACTAAAGTTTTATATAGAATGGATTTGTATACTATAGATGTATGAAGAGGTGTTAGACTTAAGAGCAAAATGGAATATCATATACTTTTAGGGAGAATTCTTTACAGAAGCATTTAGGAAAAAGAATCTGATTAGGACACAACAAACAAATAGTTTCTGCAGACATGAATTTTTAAAATAGACTTAACTTAAGTCTATACAAACTACATCTTTTTAACAGATAAAAAACCATAAAAATTATAAACTAACACATCCCATAACAAATTGACATTGAACTTAATTACTGTGTCGACGTGAGTCACCGAAACATGTAGGACACCAGACATGTCTTTTATAAGAAGTGTATCACTTCTAACACCTACGAAGAACCGAGAATTCAAATTGTTGGCTTTGTTCATTCCAACGAAGACCGATTTCATCTCCTTTCTTTAAGTTTCTCTTACGAACAAAATCTTTAACCCATTTCTTGGTGAAGACGTAACTTTGTGCAGAAGTCCATATTTTAAAATTGAGAGAATGAAGAGTGTTATCATCAATATCCAATACTTGAACTTCAACTCCTTTTCCCTTAGCAGCCTTAGCACCACCTTCCAAGAAAGGAATCACAAACTCTTTAGCCAATTCTTTACTCACCAAAAGTCTTGAATTGTTTCCCAGATCACTCTTTTCCAGCACCTTCTTGATCTTCCAAGAACCATCAAGATTGGTAGATTTTATTTTCTTAGTGATTTGTGTTTTTTCCATGCAGTGACAAGAAAGTGATAGATGTAGATGTATACAAACAGATCCAGATCCACGTTCCGCAACATCATCGATTTCTTGTGGCACACATTTTTGCTTCTTGGTGACTAATATTTTAGCATCGGAACAGTAGTGGGAACAAGAACCGACAAGTGATAAATGTATGCAAGCAGACTCAGGTTCTGCAACATCATCGGTTTCTTGTTGCACACGTTTTTGTTTCTTGGTAACTAATATCTTAGCATCGGAACAGTAGTGGGAACAAGAACCAGCAAGTGAAAGATGTGTGCAAACAAGAAAATTTGTGAGAGCCATGACAGAAAAAGATGCAGCAACAATGGTGTTTTGTTTTAGTGTGTGTTGTTGTTTTTCCTTTCTGTTGGCACTAAGAAAGAAAACACACTGATAAATATTAAAGTGAATTCTAATTTCTATATATAATGAACAAATAAAAAAATTATATAAGGAAACAAATTTTTCTTAACGGCTATTTATTTACGGAATAGAAAATATTTTAATGGATTAGATTTCTTTTACTTGATCAAATCTTGTGTCTTTGTTATCTGTTTTAATTAATAAACATATATCATATTAAGAATAAATTTTGGTTTAACTCTTTATTAAAACTTGTATATATTTTAAATTTGATTATAAAGAGATAAATTTTATTGATATAAATTAAAATAATATCTAATCTAATATCATTAGAGATTAGAGAGAAGATCTAAATTAATATGAATCTATTAAAGGGAAAAAATATAAATATCATCTAACTTTTATTGAAATAATCATAGTTTAGTATTTAAAAAATAACTTAATTTATTGATTGACAATTACCAAAAAATATATTGGTAAATATAATTATGACTTTTACATTAATTCTTTTTAATTTTTGATACTATTTCTATTTCACCATCACACAAATTTCTTTCCTAACATGTTTTAAAAAAAGTTTCTTTCCCTACAATTTTCAAATTTTAAGAATAAATTTTGATTTTATTTTTTTTATTAAAATTTGCACATATTTCAAATTTGATCACAAAGAAAGAAAATATTATTTATATAAATTAAAAGCATATCTAATTGATCTTAATTTGATGAATATGAGCATATTAAAAAATATAAATATTATCTAGCTTTTTATTGAAATTATCATAGTTTAGTATTTGAAAAATAACTTAATTTAATTAATTGACAATTATCAAAAAATTGACTAGCAAATATAATCACAACTCACTACATTGTTGAAGGTTGGGATTTGGAAAGTCGCGTTTTAAGGTATATATAAATATTGTTTAACTTAATGTTTATCAATTATTTTGAGTCATATTATTATTTGATGATGAACAATTTTAACTATGGTTTTGTTTAGTTTTATTAATGTTTGAGGAATTATTTTGCATAATAGGTTTATCGAGAAAATTCCAAATTTCACATTTGTTGAATATAGAGCATTGAAAGAGTTTATACAGAAGTGCACCCCTCACCTTACAAGCTGATTTTGTAGGGTTCAGTTAGACCCAACCAAATTTTTTAATATGGTATCATATCCTATCGATCGAACCATGGGCAGCCCACTGTTAATATCCATGCACCAATCTCAAAATGAGTGTTGGGCGTGAGGGAATATATTGAGAAAATTTTATGTCTCACATTGTTTGAAGATAGAGTATTTGAAGAGTTTATATAAAAGGGACACCCCTTACCTGACAAGTTGATATTGTAAGGATAAGTTATGCCAAACTCTAATAAAGTTTGTGTATGTAGAATATCCACACAGAGATGAAGCTCTTATTGATTCATGCTTGACTGATGACTCTATAGTTACATCTCTGTTGAACAAACTTGATTGCTCTTCCCTTATAATTGATGGAAAATTACTTCATACGAGGTGTTTCACACATATTTTGAATTTAATTTCTCAAGATAGCTTAAGTGTTCTTGGAGATGACATAAAAAAAGGTTAGAAACAATGTGGCTTTTTAGACATCCACACCTAAAAGAGAGCGAAGTTTTAAGGAAGATGCACGTCAGATCAAAGTTTCTATCACAAAGAAACTCATCCTTGATTGTAAAACTAGATGGAATTATACCTATCAAATGCTTATTGTTGCATTAGCTTATAAATATGTTTTTATTCATTTGAAAATAAGAGAGCCTTTGTATAAATGTTTGCCTATAACAAGTGAGTGGAAAATCGCAAAACAAAATCATAATGGGTTGGAAGTATTTCATCGTGTAACAGAGATGTTTTCTAATACACAATATCCCACGATAAAGTTATTTTCCTCTTTCTTTGCAGCATTGGAAGACTTGCTCAGTTAAGCCTATTAGAAAGATGTCTTTAAAGATGATTGAAAAATTTGAGAAATATTGGCATGTAATACATGGAATTGTGTGGATATCCATTGATTTGGATCAAAGATACAAATTAAAGCTTTTAGAATACTTCTTTCTTTCGCATCTCGAAAAATAGAATCCTTCACAAAGCATTCATACGCTCGCGAAAAAAATGATTCGAACATAGTCGCTACCGAACTTTATTTATTCCAAAGCAGGAATGGAAAAATATCGATAAAACCCTTAAAATAAAAATAAAATGGTCGTCACAACTATGTTCGGGTTTGGGATTCGACTATGCAGGGGGAAGGTATTAGCATCCATCACATCCGTGGTACTCAACGAGAACCTCTTAGTTAGATCTTCGACTGAAAGCTAGCTTATGTTAATTATGATCTTCTACTTATTAGTGAGATAAAAAAAGAAAGGAAGTTTTTATTAAATGGGCGCTTTTTATTAAGGTGTGTCTGACAAGATTTTAAAATCTTGCTCCTACGTAGTTCTTGGTAACAAAGAACTACTATTTGTTGGTTGCTATGGAGAACTCAGGGCTACATAGTTCTTGGTAACAAAAAAACTACTGTTTATTGGTTGCTTTTAAGGAGTGATCCTTTAGACATATCTATTTATTAAACATTTACTTGATACTCGCTCTTGGAGACTAAAGCATTTGTTTCTTTCACATCGATATGGATAAAGCATACTCATTTTTGAAAAATGGTTTTCGAAGTCACGTAGGGTGGAAAAAGTTTAATTTGTTGAGTAATTTGTTGGATGACGATTACTCAAATGGTCGAGTAAGGAAACTCGTATCCGAATAATCAAGAAGAGGAATAGAAGACTCTAGACCATCTCCCTTTTCACCCTAAATTGTAAAAATATTTAGATAAGGTTAATGCATTTTGGATGGATGATAAATACTCGAATGGTCGAGTAACGCAACTCGCATCCCAATATTCGAGGAAGGGAATAAAAGGCTCTAGACCTCTTCCTTTTTCTTATTTAATTATTATGTTCAAGTATGATTAAGTATTTTTGTTTGAATTGGATAAAAGTGTACTCGATGTTGGTCGAGGTTTTTATTTGTGTTGAATTAAAAAAGGATGAAATGATTTAAGGATTTCAAAATGATTGAGAAGTTGGGATAATGGAAATAGTTTTGATTTGGGAAGATTGCTTGACATTGGATCCAACACTATTTTTTGTTTTTTTTTTGTTTTTGAAAGTGGACTATTTTAATCTTTGAGTTAACCATTAATTAACATAATAAAAAAAGGAAAGCAGTAAAATTATTACACATTACGGGAATGGGGGTACATTTGATCGAATGAGGATATAATAATACAGTAAGTATACAAGCTCATCAAACAAACGTAAACAATAAGGAAATCAATGTAAAAGTACTCAAGAGAAAGACAAGAGATCATAGATAAATCGGAGTCTAGAGTAATGAATTTATTTGTATGTTAAGCTAACTTAAAGTGGATTCATGTAGGAACCACTGATCGGGTGTGAAATCTAACTGCAAGTGCATAGCCTATCATGTAGTTTTAAAAGATATCGATTCCACATAGACCAATAGTCAAAGATCTATTGTTTCCAGTTGTTACGGTGTTTAGCTAAGGAAAATGAAATAATTAAAAGGAAGGAAACAAAATACAAGGATTTAATAAAAACACATGAATAACGATTCTGAAATGTAATTCACATCAATCGATAATGCTCTAATTGTTTCTACTAAGATAACTTACGGGGCAATATTTCCTATTTAGAAAAGAATTATTTTAATAGGAACTATCGCTTTCGCGTATTCAGAATCGAGTTTCACTCTCTAATTTATACCCTCCATTTGTCACATATGGAAGGCGGTTACCGCGTTAAAGTAGTAAACTCATTTTTAAAAAATTAGACTCTTAACTTAATAGAAAGGTGATTTTGATTGGAAAGTTTAACTAAAAAGGGTTCCTAGCTCTCGCTCAGGGAACCAGATCCTAAACTTATAAACGTGTCCACAAATAGTTCTAAAACCTTCTTCTAGAAAGGTTTAATCTTCCTAATTAATTAACAAAGTGCTTTTGTGGTATTTGTTAACCAAAGACAAACCAATTTTAGTCTTTAATGTCGGACGACTTTTGATCTTACCTGACGTTTTCACTGCATCACTTTCGGGAAGGCAGATTAAAATAAGTTCATAAAATTGCATTTAAATCAAAACATCCCACAAAAGGTAATCTTAAGGAGACAACATGTAAAACATCATCTATTGACGATCCTCACATGCCAGCATTTAATAATTTAGCCATACATGTTTAAGGAAAACAAAACATAAATGGTTTTGAGTGCAAAGGTAAACATAATGACGGGTAAAAATGTTATGAAATTAATTAAGACGAGAGGACAAATGAAATTAAATAAGACAAGGAAAATAAAGGCAAGACAAAGTAAATGTAAATGCTGAATGAATTAAAAACCTGGTCCAAACGGAGTCTTGAATCTGATAGAAATTGCAATAACTTAAAATAAATCTTGATGAAAATAAAGTGCTTCGGAAATAAACTTGTACAAGGTGCTCCAAACTTGATAAAGACTCGATCAACGGTGCAATAATCCTCTGGTGTGAAGAGATTATTTCTTTACAATTCAACAGTATATTCGCTTAAGTTTGCATAAGCTTGGATACCCTGGAAAATGGCATGAAATGGTTATTTATAGGAGTCTAAAACCCTAGAAATCACCAAGGAACCACTTCCAGGCCGTGGAGAAAATGTAGGGACGGTTTATGGAGACTTGGAGACTAAGCATGGTCTGTTCCCAACCGTTTGGGATTTTTCAAGGGTGGCGACCGCCACGCTCACAAAGTGGGCATGACTTGGTCATCCCACTAGTTGGTACGTGGACCACTCATGGCACCCCTAGAATGATCGCCATGGTGGTCGCCATAGATGCAAGTCTGCTCCAATTCTTCGCTTTTCGTC